CACCTATAAATAGCCTCATTTTCCTTCACAAATAATCATCCCTTCTACCAATCCCCTCTTCCATACTCTTAAGCTCAGTTTAGAATAGTATTTCTTTTATATTTTTTATAGCATGTTTAGTCTCCAAATGAGGAGCTAAACTCTTCCATCTTGGTTTTGCTACTTTGAAACTTAATGAATTTGTAAGTTGTGAGTTATTCTCTTTAATCTTCTTCCTTGAATATTAATTCTTCCTTTAAATACTATTTCTATATCAATGTTGGGGAGTGTTACTAAGATGACAATTAGTTAACATCTTGACATTAGTTATAGTAATAGCTATTTCTTCCTCTATGTTAATATTGGGGAGTGTTACTAAGATGACAATTAGTTAACATCTTGATATTAACTATAGTAGGATTCATCTTCTTTAATATTCTTCCTTGAGTATTAATTAATTCCTATTCATATTTCATATTAATATTTTGAACATTACTTAAAGGATCAACTAGTTTTGTTTCATATATTAATTATTACTAGAATCAATCGGTTAATACGCTTGTTATTAATTCGGTTCTTTTAATGATAGTAAACTTGGGTTGTTAATGCATGCTTCTCATGATTAATAAGCCAAGGGGAATTAATTATATTGATTAAACCAATAAACCGCTTGTGTTGAGGTTATCAATCTCAATCGTTTTCATCTTAAGTTTATTGCTACTATCAAGTTAATATACGGCGCTTGTTCTATATTGACTCGATAGTAAGTTTTATTAATGAACGCATCTCGTTATTAATAACTACCCTCGATGAACTGGATATACTCCTCGATTGAGTATTCGAGAGGAAGATAGTTAAAGATATAACCGGGATCGACGAACATTTCATTAAGTGGATAAAAGCAAAACCAAGTCTTCTTCTCATTAATTAAATCACATAACTTGTTCATCTTCGTGCTTAAATATAATTTAAGTTCAATCATTAAATCAAAACCCCCCTTATTACTAGTTATAAAAAGAGAAGTATTCCTTTCCCTGCGGATACGAACCTTACTACGCTATACTACGTATAAGTGTTGTATTGTATTATTATTTTGAGTGCACATCACGACAAAGTGCACGTCAGTATATGCATTGATGACGCGCTATGGGCATACCGAACTGCTTACAAAACTCCAATCGGTATGTCCCCTTATAGACTTGTGTTTGGAAAAGCTTGTCATCTTCCCGTAGAGCTTGAACACAAGTCGTATTGGGCGGTAAAAGAATTCAACCTCAATCTTGATGAGGTCGGTGTGTATAGGAAACTCCAATTGCAAGAATTGGAAGAACTCCGTTTGGATTCTTATGACAATGGGGAATATACAAAAGAAAGACGAATGAGTGGCACGACAAAATGATCATAAGAAAGGACTTTAAGCTTAATGACAAAGTCCTCCTCTTTCAATCATGCCTTCGTCTATTTCCGGGAAAGCTGAGATCCCGTTGGACCGGACCATACAAAGTGGTCAAAATATATCCACACGGGGCGGTGGAGATTGAAGACCTGGCGACGGGAGAGGTACTCAAGGTGAACGGACAAAGATCAAAACCTTTCTTTGAGGGTTTTCAACCCAAAAACGTGGAAGTCATAGACCTTTCTGAACCGGTCTATGAATAAAGAGCAACAAAGACATCGTCGAGCCACGACGTTAAACGAAGCGCTTCATGGGAGGCAACCCAAGCAAGGTATGTTTTCTTTTCATTATTTTTCAGTAGTGTGTGTGTGTGTTTCCTTTCAAAAAAATGAATAAAAATAATAATAAAATAAAATCGGAATACCTGGGGATATACCCGCTCGAGTATGCATACATACTCGGTCGGGTATTGATGAAAAAGAGAACCCGAGTTCAGTACTCGATCGAAGTAGCCAGATATTTCAAAAATGGAGGCATACTCGATCGGGTATATTTCGTTACCCGGTCGAGTATGAACTGAAAGGAGAAACCAAAAGAAGCCTGTCTCCAGCACTCGATCGAGTACATAGCTCAAAATGTGCACAAATAAGAATACCCGATCGGGTATTAACACATACTCGGTCGGGTATGTCCGGATAATAAAAACCACCAGACCCCTGTCTCTAAGGCCCGATCGAGTACCCACCTATACTCGGTCGGGTATTACTAGAAAACCAACATACTCGGGGCCCTGTCTCCAGTACCCGATCGGGTATATAGTGGTACTCGATCGGGTACACCTGCGATTTAACCCCAAAACACACCCCAAAACACTTCATCTTCCTCAAATCCCTAACCCAATTTCGAAACCCTCTTCCCCTACCTCCATTTTCAAACCTTCTCTCTATCATATCTCCCTCATTTCTCCATCAAATCACCTCATTCCACCACCAAAACACTCCCCTCACTCTCCTCTACACACCCATACCCACAAAATCCAATTTCTCCCCAAAAAAATCCCAAGTCCGAAAACCCTCACCCATTTTCGGATTTTCCCAATTTCAAGCTCCAAATCTACGAAAATGGCACCAAGAAAGGACAAAGGGCAGAGCTCCAATGCTATGGCACCCATCCCGGGCTACGAGGACCTCATACCCGCCGACAACGAACACCGAGCTCGATTCCTCACCACCATGACAAGGCAAGTAAAACCTTCTCGTTTTATATGACATGATGCTCTCCGTGAATTAGGGGTGTATAAGAGTACTAGAAAATTCTTTCATGAGTTGGACATGGACCGTATTTTCAAAATGAAATACAACTCTAATGAACGAATTATCTATGAATTCATGAGTTCGGTGCAATTTGAAAGCGATGAGGCCGACTTTAGGGATGATAGACTCAAGTTTCGTCTGTTTAACCAAAACTATTCAATAACAAAACTTGAGTTTGCCGAACATTTTGGCATCCCCGTTCCCTAAGAAAGAGCCATCTCCGATAACACTATTTTCGGGCATTCCCTGTGGACAAAGATGACCGGGGAAGTGAAATTTAGCTCCTCCCAACTGTATATTAGTCATGTCCAACTTCCGTCCTCCGATTGTTCTTGAAATTTCTAGCCAATTGCTTGCTTAGGCGCCCCAACAACCATCACACTAGGATAGGGGACATATGTTTGATGTCTGTGGCCTTATTCCGTCGTCATGTGGACTTTAATCTGTGCAATCTTATGTGGGCACATTTGAAAAAGGAAAGCACAGCGAAAGGGGCCATTGTTGTGGGTGGGGTGATTATGCACTTGGTGAGTAAGTTCGGGTATATGGATAACTCTCCTATACCTGACTATTGTTTGATGGATATGGCTTGGTTAGGCCATTCGGGATGCACAACTTTTTCCCATACGGTTTATGATGGGGAACAACCGAAAAACATGTCCAACCTATCAAACACTTCTTAATGCCTAGCCCAGACCTCCCCAAAATACTCTACAAACCGGAGGTAGAGGTGCCCCACTACCTATTCCCACACGCCCTTCCACCAAATCTCCAAGAACCTCAACAAGACCAACCCGAGGGCGAGCCTTATGCCGGACCCCATGATCATGAAGACATGGACGCGGACATCCCCAAGCAGAACCAAGTCCCTCCACCACCCGATTACTTCCAACAACTACTTGAAGGATTCAACAAAGTTACCGACGAAGTTGGAAAGTATCGGAAGGAACAAAAGGCGGGTTTTCAAAGACTTGAAGAGCAACGAGCCGAAGACAACCGAAGGTATGAAGAAGACCAACGAAGGTTCTATGGGCCCATGTACTCATACATGTCCCATCAAGCCTCATTCCATACCATGGCTCACCCACCTCCACCCCCCTCTTGGTATGACCCCACTCAATGGGGTAACTTTGGAGGATCTAGCTCTGGGGGTGGAGGATATGATGGCGGGGATGGAGGAGATCCACACTTTGGTGACGGCAGCTTTGGAGGCGGATTTGGAGGCGGCTTCTATGGCGGAGAAGGTGGGCACTAGGGACAGTGCTTGACATAAGTGTGGGGGAGGAGACTCATCATGAGTATGTCACTTTATTTTCACCCTTTACTAGGCATTTACTATGCATGAATTTCTTTTACTCTTTGAAAACAAAAAAAAAAGAATAAATAAAAGAATAGAAATGCTAGCTAGGTTGAAAACCCAACAAAATGGGCAATCTAAGCAAAAAGGGCTTATAAAAAAATGAGTGAGTGGGGAGAATGGAAAATGAAAAGAGATGCTAGGATGAAAACCTGAAAAGGCTCTTAGGCAAAATGAGAGATATGAGAGAAATTGTGACACCGCTCCCGAACGTCCTTGAAAATTTGATTTAAAATTCAAAGTTTATGTATTGGATTTCTGATTCCCAAACATTTGTAAAACGATTAATGTTTTACGTAATTAATGATCGATTAGTGTACTGTTCGAACTCGTATATTAGTGTCGGGCATGCAAATACTATTTGGGTCTTATTAATAAATAAAAGAGCCCAAACGTTTTCCAAATAGTGATACATAATCTTTCAAGACAATCCGAGTAAGGTCGGACGGCCCAAACGTTATTTTGAGGCCAACCTGCTAAAATAGCAAGTATTCGAGAATGGCGTTCTAGACCCACTCGGGAGTGACCCACACGGCTAGTAGCCCAATAATATGTATGACAAATGTCAAATAAGTGATAGGATGATTAAAGAAGAATACAAATGCCTATAACCCCACCTTTGGCCTTATTGAGCTAAATAATGGGAGTAGGATTTTCCTTCTATAATATCCATCAAGTAAATTATTGGGATGAGCCTACACATATTGGAGATCAATAATGTGATTTGAGAGGTTGACTTGTTCTAAATAAATTAGGATGAGTACAAAAAGACATCTTTTGACAAAGATAAAACAATAGGACCCATTTTCCCCATTTTTGGAAGTATTGGTAGATAATTTGGATCCCAAAATGATTGGGATCAATTGGGAACCACTCCACATGATATTAGTACCTGCAAGACAAATAAAAATGGGTTAGGAGACTTACCTTGGCCGGCCATTATGGAGAAGAGCTGCACATGACTTGATAAGAATCAAAGTTTGGGGCCACCACTCTTATTTTCGCACAAATTGGTGTGCTGTTTGTCTCCTCTCATTATAGGAGCTATCCTCAACCAAATAACGTGTATGAGGTGTCCTTGGATAGCCCTTGAAGTGTAGTTTCATAATTGAGTGGTCTTTGTTCGAGGAGAGGGAGCTTATCTTACAAAAATCGATCTGGAACGACCAGTGGTCTGTGAACTCGAGCTGTGAGAGTGCTGAGACTGTTTGGTTGATATCTCTAGTTTTACCAATCCAATCAAGGCGTGTGAGATACCAAAAGAAAGCTCTCAAGACGAGGAATCCGTGAAGGTCTGGTTTGCCTCAATCGGAGTAGAGGAAGGCTTCCAAATCGTCCGAGCAGAACGAGACCTCGCAGGAACGGATTTACTCTTCTAAGTGAGTTGTTAATCCCAAAACCTTTCCATTCATTTTCCAAATGATATGAACGATTGGTGGAACTATTGTACACTAATAAAAGTGCATAATATGTCCCCATAAAGTTATTTTATTGATGTAAAGGTTAGATACTAACCTAGATGCAAATATTGAAATACTAGTTAATGATTGTTGTAATTGTTAAGGGAATTGAATCTAAGGATTTGATTATAATTGATGTACTTGATTGTGATGCAAGTGACAAATTTGATGTAATGTGATGCTAAGACCATGGTTGGGCAGTCCGTAGGGATGTCCCAAAATAGATTATTGATATTACAATTCTAGGCATAGTGAGTGCTTAGGAATTGGGGTCTATGCCAATGTAAGGAGATGTACTTGAGCCCGTGCTCATAGAATTGCATTGGGTAGACATGATGAGGTGATTGTTGTGCATGGTGATGTAGTCGAGTTGGACTCGAGAAATGCACGGTGGAGTAGTTAGCTTATGTTAATAAAGGTGCATGGTGATGTAGTCGAGTTGGACTCGAGAATGCAAACATGTGTGTTAGGGTTGAACCCTATGTATTGTTGTGACTAGGGGTCACGGGATTTTGGGCTATGTTTGATAAACAAACCTTGGGCCTACGGGCCGACTACTTGACTTTATATATAAAGTAAGTATATTTTAAAAAGGGGTAACTTGGGGTTACGGCCTAGATTATATTATCACCCTATTTGAGGGTCTTATGTTTGAAATACTTGTTGTATATCTATTAGATGCCATCCACACCAGCACTTTATAGCCCTATAGAGTGCTGACCCCTTCGGGGGCGTCCCACTACCATTTTTCAGGTTGAGGCTAGAGCTTGCTTCCTGTGCTCGTTGCTTGAGTGATCATCTAGGAGGGAAGACTTGGTTCGTGCTTCCTCCATTCGGTTTTAAAACATTAATAAACATGCTCATGAATATTTTACTATAGAGCCTGCGTGCTCATGTTAGCCACGTGTGGCATTTGTTTTCAAACTATGTTTTCCGCTACGTATTCGATTGCTTGTTATGTTGTTTATGGATGGCTTGCGTGTGAATGATATTCTAGACGCCTTGTATAATATGAATGTGTTGGACTGCGGTTGACTATTCGTATTGTACGGCGGGTTGTTGACGTGTCCGGGGAGGTCCGGGGCGTGACAATTAAGTTGGTATCAGAGCCTTAGTCCATAAACTTCATAATGAAGTCTCAAAATTCTCTTTTTGAAAAGATTTTGAAAACCATGAGCATAGAAGTTTTGTACTTGGAGAGCTTTTGGTACTTGGGTTGCAAGGTCTCTAATTGTTAAGATGGTACCCTTAGCAATTGGTATGGCAGTGACTCGAGCCAGAATGTGTCTTAAGTACCTATCCGTCAATTGACATTTGATACGAGTCTAACGACTCTTTCCCAATTTCTTTCAGAAATGGACCGTGGTGGCAGGATTACTAGGAGAAACCCGACCGGCCGTGTACCAGAGGAGACTGGACAGGGCAGTCGAAGGACCTCTAGGGCATCTAGAGGAGCTGGCCGTGGAGGCCGATCACAGACCGTGAGTGACGGTCATGTCGACACAGAAAGTGAAACCTACTGGTCCTATGAGGACTCGACTTACCAACCGGGGACCGAGCCGGTTGAGACCCCTTACGAAGGGGATGACGATGATGTGAGCGATGAAGAGGGGGAGAATGACTCCCTAGCAAGAATAGAGGCGCTGCTCCAACAATATCAACGGGAGCGCGAGGAAAGGAGGGAACGCCGAAGGCGCCGGGGAGGGCGAATTTCGGGTGAGGCTTCAAGAGGAAGAAGCCATGGCGATTCTCGGGCCCACATTGAACCACATGGGGGCCGGGGTGATGGAGGTCCAATCATAAGGATCTCAAAATTTCTCAAAGAGGCTAGGGATTTGGGGTGCAAACCCTTCAACGGAGCAGGCGACATCTCGGTCGCCGCGGAATGGATCAAGAGGTTGAACGAGGCAGCCCTTGATATGCAACTCACCCCCGAATTTAAACTAAGGGTGGCGGTGAGATTGCTTGAAGGGATGGCATCCACATGGTGGGATGGAGCCAAGGGAAAGTATGGCAATACCGTGACTTGGGAGAATTTCCGACAGGAGTTCTTTGCCCAATATTATTCCGATTTTGAGGTGAACGCTAAAAGGAGAGAGTATACCCTCCTGACCCAAGGTGGCAAAATGACGGTGAGGCAACTTGAACACAAATTCAGGGAGCTCGCAGAGTTCATACCGGAGTATGTGTGTGACGAGAACCGGATGGTAAATCACTTCTGGGATGCCTTAGACCTGGAGGTGCGTGAGAGGGCAACTCAGTTGCCTAACATGACCTTTAGCCAAGTGGTCGAGCAAGGGTTGAAAGGAGAGAAAGAATGGGAAGAGAGAAAGTTGAAAAACGCCGAAGAGGCGAAGAAGAGAAAGTGGGAGAACCATGGACCTCAAGGTCCTAACAAAAAGGGGAACCATGGGGGAGGGGGATCTTTTCGGACACCCCCACTGCCATCTAGGGGAAGTCAAGGCCCGGGCGGGCAATCACAAGCCTCGGGGGTGACTCGTTGCAAGAATTGCAAGAGAAACCACCTGGGGAAATGTCGTGACCCTCCTAGATGCTACCAATGCGGAAACACCGGGCACTTGAAGATGAATTGCCCACAATTGGGTGGGGCAAGGTCATCGGGACCAAGTAGTGGTAATACCGGGACACGGAATCAAGCCGGGACTTCACAAGCGTCCAGGGGGCAAGGGGGAGCAAGCGCAAGCAATGCGCCGTCCGTGAATCAAGGAAGGACTCAAGCTAGGGTCTACGCGATGACGGAGGCGGATGCTCAAGCTAACCCGGATTCCGTTGCAGGTATTGCCTCTCGTATACTAGTGTTTTATCCTTAATTAGTCCATAAATTGAGGTTACTAATCGTTAGGATCATTGCACAAGGTTTTGGGGTCAAACCGGGGGATTTCGGGCAACTTCAGGCGGCTGGAACCCAGGCACGATCGTGCCTAAGGCAGACACGATCGTGCCTCCAAGTCAGTGGCTGCCCAGGAATTTCCCCTGCCCAGGCACGATCGTGCCTAAGGCAGACACGATCGTGCCTACAAGGCAGTAGCTCCCCAGGTGTTTCTCCAAACCAGGCACGATCGTGCCTAAGGCAGACACGATCGTGCCTCCAAGGCAGTAGCCCCCAGGGCTTTTTCCTGAGCCAGGCACGATCGTGCCTACCCCAGGCACGCCGTGCCTGGAACCCAGATTGCCGAAACCCGAGTTTTCGCACCGTTTTGCGACGTTAAGACCTCTTCTTGATCCTTAACGTGTGTGCGAACATTATAACCTTCTATAAATGAGTAGGGAGGGTAGGAAAGATGTCTTACGTGGTTCATGAATGTAGGGACACTAAAGATTAACGGAAAGGATGCACGAATCCTTATCGATACCGGGGCGCAACGTTCATTTGTGAGTGAAGCGTTCGCCAAGAAGTTGGGAGTGCAATCTGCACCGTTGATGCAAACCTTAGTGGTATCAACACCACTAGGGGATGATGTGGAAAGAACTAGCTACTATCCATCTTGTGGGGTGGAAGTTAATGGTCAAACCTTGACGTGTGACTTCGTACCGCTGAGCATGATTGAATTCGATGCAATCCTAGGGATGGATTGGCTAGAAAGGAACCATGCTAGGGTAGATTGCTACACGAAGGTTCTTGAACTCGAAGGCAATGATGGGGAGACCCTACGCTTCGAGGGCGATCGAGGGAGATCAAATAGCTGTATCATATCCGCCGTGAGAGCGAGAAGTATGATGAGAAAGGGATGCCACGCATATCTAGCATACGTGGTTGACAAAACCAAAGAAGAAACAAACATCGACGATGTGAGGGTGGTTTGTAAGTATCCGGATGTCTTTCCAAAAGATTTACCGGGACTTCCACCCGATAGAGAGATTGAATTTGTGATCGAGGTCGAGCCCGGCACCAAACCAATCTCCATACCGCCATACCGTATGGCACCCGCCGAACTTAACGAGTTGAAAACCCAATTGCAAGAGCTTTTGGATAATGGTTTCATTAGACCAAGCCACTCCCCGTGGGGAGCACCGGTTCTTTTTGTGAAAAAAAAAGATGGGACACTTCGAATGTGCATTGACTATCGTCAACTGAACAAGGTCACAATCAAGAATAGGTATCCTTTGCCTAGGATTGATGACTTGTTTGATCAACTGCGAGGAGCAACCGTGTTTTCGAAGATTGACTTGAGGTCGGGGTACCATCAATTGAAGATTAAGGAAGACGACATACCAAAGAGTGCTTTCCGCACAAGGTATGGGCATTTTGAGTTCCTTGTTATGTCGTTTGGGTTAACAAACGCCCCAGCGGCATTCATGGACTTGATGAACCGAGTATTCCATAAATACTTGGATCGATTCGTGATTGTGTTCATAGATGACATCTTGATTTACTCAAAGAGTGAGGAAGAGCATGAAGAGCACTTGATACTCGTTCTTGAGACACTACGGGAGAAGCAACTCTATGCCAAATTTTCTAAGTGTGAATTTTGGCTAAAGGAGATTGGCTTTCTCCGGCACGTGGTTTCAGGATCGGGAATTGCTGTTGATAACAAGAAGATAGAGGCCATTACCGAATGGGAGAGGCCGAAGAACGTCAAGGAAATTCGTAGTTTCCTTGGATTGGCAGGCTACTACAGAAAGTTCGTGGAGAAGTTCTCTGTTTTGGCATCACCATTGACGAAGCTCACTCGTAAAGGAGCTAAGTTTGTATGGGATGACAAATGTGAGAAAGGGTTCATGGAACTAAAGAAGAGATTGACCGAGGCACCGGTACTTGCATTACCCAAACAGGGTGTGGGGTACGATGTCTATAGCGATGCGAGCATCCAAGGGTTTGGGTGTGTGTTGATGCAGGAGGGGAGAGTAATTGCCTATGCTTCACGACAGTTGAAGAAGCATGAGGTAAATTACCCTACCCATGACCTGGAGCTGGGAGCAATAGTTTTTGCACTGAAGATTTGGAGACATTATCTCTACGGAGAGACATGTCACATATATACTGATCATAAGAGCTTGAAGTACGTGTTTACTCAGAAAGAGTTAAACATGAGACAGAGACGGTGGATGGAGTTGATAAAGGACTACCATCTAGTTATTGAGTACCATCCAGGCAAGGCAAACGTTGTAGCAGATGCCCTGAGTCGGAAGAGTTCGTCCGGGGCATTGTTGACTAGTTTGAGGGCACTGAGGGCCCAATTGGATGTATCTAGCGACGGTGCCTTATTGGCACGATTTGAAGTGAGACCGACCTTACTTGATGAGATCAAGAAGGGTCAAGTGACTGACGCAGAACTTATGAAGGTCCGGGAACGCATGCAAGCGGGACCGGTGGAGGAATTCAGGGAAAGAGACGATGGTCTCTTGTTATTTCGTGACCGAGTGTGTGTACCGTCAGATGATGAGCTCCGAAAGTCCATCTTAGAGGAGGCTCATTCATCGGCTTATGCCATGCACCCGGGGGGCACGAAAATGTACCGTGATTTGAAAGAAAGTTACTGGTGGTCTGGGATGAAGAGGGAAATAGCCGAGTACATCAGTCGATGCCTTACTTGTCAACAAGTTAAGGCAGAACATCAGCATCCAGCAGGCTTATTACAACCACTTTCCATCCCTGAATGGAAGTGGGAACATGTGACTATGGATTTTGTGGTAGGTTTACCACGGACAATTCGGAACTACGATGCAGTTTGGGTTGTTGTGGATAGGCTCACGAAGAGTGCACACTTCTTGCCTATCAACACTACCTACCCACTTGAGAGGTTGGCCAAATTGTATACGGATGAGATCGTGAGGCTGCATGGGGTCCCAGTTACCATTGTATCCGATAGAGACCCACGATTCACATCACGTTTTTGGCCGAAATTTCAAGAGTCTATGGGAACGAGGTTGAAGTTCAGTACTGCATTCCATCCACAGACGGATGGGCAGTCTGAGAGGGTTATACAGATCTTAGAGGATATGCTGAGGGCTTGTGCGTTAGAGTTCCAAGGAAGTTGGGACAACCACTTAGCACTCGTGGAGTTTGCCTATAACAATAGTTATCAGGCAAGTATCGGCATGCCTCCATATGAAGCATTGTATGGGAGGAGGTGTCGTACACCGTTATGCTGGGACGAGGTTGGCATGGCCAAACTCGAGGGTACTGAGTTGGTTGAGATCACCAAGTCAAAGGTGAAGTTGATTCGAGAGAGACTCAAAGCGGCTCAGGATAGGCAAAAGAGTTATGCAGATAAGCGTCGAAGGACCTTAGAGTTTAAGGTTGATGACGAGGTATTCCTGAAAGTTTCTCCTTGGAAAGGAATCATTCGATTCCAAACCCGAGGAAAGCTTAACCCACGATATATAGGCCCATTCAGAATTATAGAGAGGGTTGGGGTCGTAGCATATCGTCTACAGTTGACTCCTGAGTTGGAGAAGATTCACAATGTATTTCACGTGTCCATGCTTAAGAAGTATGTGCATGATCCTTCTCATGTGTTGGAGAAGCCGCCCGTGGAGGTACGTGAAGATTTGAACTATGCCGTGCAACCGGTAAGAGTTATTGACAGAAAAGTGAAGAAACTGAGGAGTAAAGAAGTTCCAATGGTTAAAGTCCTTTGGAAGAGTGACCGGGTCGAAGAAGAGACTTGGGAAACAGAAGCTTTGATGAGGAAGCAGTATGCATTCCTATTCGAGTAGAGCCGTGAATTTCGGGGACGAAATTCCTGTTAAGGGGGGGTGAACTTGTGACACCGCTCCCGAACGTCCTTGAAAATTTGATTTAAAATTCAAAGTTTATGTATTGGATTTCTGATTCCCAAACATTTGTAAAACGATTAATGTTTTACGTAATTAATGATCGATTAGTGTACTGTTCGAACTCGTATATTAGTGTCGGGCATGCAAATACTATTTGGGTCTTATTAATAAATAAAAGAGCCCAAACGTTTTCCAAATAGTGATACATAATCTTTCAAGACAATCCGAGTAAGGTCGGACGGCCCAAACGTTATTTTGAGGCCAACCTGCTAAAATAGCAAGTATTCGAGAATGGCGTTCTAGACCCACTCGGGAGTGACCCACACGGCTAGTAGCCCAATAATATGTATGACAAATGTCAAATAAGTGATAGGATGATTAAAGAAGAATACAAATGCCTATAACCCCACCTTTGGCCTTATTGAGCTAAATAATGGGAGTAGGATTTTCCTTCTATAATATCCATCAAGTAAATTATTGGGATGAGCCTACACATATTGAAGATCAATAATGTGATTTGAGAGGTTGACTTGTTCTAAATAAATTAGGATGAGTACAAAAAGACATCTTTTGACAAAGATAAAACAATAGGACCCATTTTCCCCATTTTTGGAAGTATTGGTAGATAATTTGGATCCCAAAATGATTGGGATCAATTGGGAACCACTCCACATGATATTAGTACCTGCAAGACAAATAAAAATGGGTTAGGAGACTTACCTTGGCCGGCCATTATGGAGAAGAGCTGCACATGACTTGATAAGAATCAAAGTTTGGGGCCACCACTCTTATTTTCGCACAAATTGGTGTGCTGTTTGTCTCCTCTCATTATAGGAGCTATCCTCAACCAAATAACGTGTATGAGGTGTCCTTGGATAGCCCTTGAAGTGTAGTTTCATAATTGAGTGGTCTTTGTTCGAGGAGAGGGAGCTTATCTTACAAAAATCGATCTGGAACGACCAGTGGTCTGTGAACTCGAGCTGTGAGAGTGCTGAGACTGTTTGGTTGATATCTCTAGTTTTACCAATCCAATCAAGGCGTGTGAGATACCAAAA